CGTTCACCCGGCTAAAAAATTCGATTTTGGCGAAAAATCCAACATCTGACACTTTGACCCTTGTGACCCTTGGACCGACTTTCCCCCCGGAAAAATCAAAGATCTGACACTTTGGCCTCCGGTGAAAAAAAAAAATTTTCATTTTTCACTTTTTCAACATACTTTTGATAGTTCTGAATAGCCCGGCGCTTAAATAGTTGGAATCAACGTTCACCCGGCTAAAAAATTCGATTTTGGTGAAAGTCGACTTTCCCCCTGGAAAAATCCAAGATCTGACACTTTGGCCCTCGTGACCCGTGACCCTTCGACCGACTTTCCCCCTGAAAAAAATCCACGATCTGACCCCTTTGGGTCCGGGTGAAAATTTTTTTTTTTCCGTTTTCACTTTTTCCACATACTTTTGACAGTTCTGACAAGCCCGGCGCTTAAATAGTTGGAATCAACGTTCACCCGGCTAAAAAATTCGATTTTGGTGAAAGTCGACTTTCCCCCTGGAAAAATCCAAGATCTGACACTTTGGCCCTCGTGACCCGTGACCCTTCGACCGACTTTCCCCCTGAAAAAAATCCACGATCTGACCCCTTTGGGTCCGGGTGAAAATTTTTTTTTTTCCGTTTTCACTTTTTCCACATACTTTTGACAGTTCTGACAAGCCCGGCGCTTAAATAGTTGGAATCAACGTTCACCCGGCTAAAAAATTCGATTTTGGTGAAAGTCGACTTTCCCCCTGGAAAAATCCAAGATCTGACACTTTGGCCCTCGTGACCCGTGACCCTTCGACCGACTTTCCCCCTGAAAAAAATCCACGATCTGACCCCTTTGGGTCCGGGTGAAAATTTTTTTTTTTCCGTTTTCACTTTTTCCACATACTTTTGACAGTTCTGACAAGCCCGGCGCTTAAATAGTTGGAATCAACGTTCACCCGGCTAAAAAATTCGATTTTGGTGAAAGTCGACTTTCCCCCTGGAAAAATCCAAGATCTGACACTTTGGCCCTCGTGACCCGTGACCCTTCGACCGACTTTCCCCCTGAAAAAAATCCACGATCTGACCCCTTTGGGTCCGGGTGAAAATTTTTTTTTTTCCGTTTTCACTTTTTCCACATACTTTTGACAGTTCTGACAAGCCCGGCGCTTAAATAGTTGGAATCAACGTTCACCCGGCTAAAAAATTCGATTTTGGTGAAAGTCGACTTTCCCCCTGGAAAAATCCAAGATCTGACACTTTGGCCCTCGTGACCCGTGACCCTTCGACCGACTTTCCCCCTGAAAAAAATCCACGATCTGACCCCTTTGGGTCCGGGTGAAAATTTTTTTTTTTCCGTTTTCACTTTTTCCACATACTTTTGACAGTTCTGACAAGCCCGGCGCTTAAATAGTTGGAATCAACGTTCACCCGGCTAAAAAATTCGATTTTGGTGAAAGTCGACTTTCCCCCTGGAAAAATCCAA